AACTATTTTATAGAAATTTTAATAGTCATGAAGAATTTATGTAGATGGGATTCAGCAAAAACTAAAAGGTATTTTATCAGTGATTGTTTTATATTTCTGACTTTATATTGATTGAAGTTTCATTAATGATTATTATGAATATCCATCAATCAGTAGTTGTTATAGCAACATTAAACAATAATATGCAAATGACGACAACGAATCATCTTTTTTGGGGATGATAATAAAGATTAAGATCCAGTTTGTACAGGAGTGATCGAAGTAACTAACTAACTTTTATCAATTATTCAATATTTTGTGTAGATGTAATCGAAGTAAGCATTAAGGACAAGATCTATGAACAAAACATACTAACAAATGTTTTATCAACTATTCAATAGTTTGTATAGGAGTATTCGAAGTAAGTGTTAAGGACAAAACATACTAATAAACGTTTTATCAATTATTCAATAGTTGTATAGGAGTGGTTGAAATAAGCATTAAGGACAAGATCTATGAACAAAACATACTAATGAACATTTTATCAACTATTCAATAATTTGTGTAGGAGCGATCGAAGTAAGCATTAAGGACAAGATCTATGAACAAAACATACTAACAAATGTTTTATAAATTATTCAATAGTTGTATAGGAGTGATCGAAGTAAGCATTAAGGACAAGATTAGGGATGGGAATGGTTCGGTTCGGTTCAGTTTATAAACCGCCAGTTTGGCTAGTGAACCGCACCGACTGGTGGTTTGAACCACGGTTCAAACCCAAGTTTAACTGCAGTTTTATAATTTTATTGGTAAGGATGGGAATGGTTCGGTTCGGTTCAGTTTGGTTTATAAACTGCCAGTTTGACTAGTGATTGACAGTTTACTGATCACGGTTTGAACCGCGGTTCAAACCCAAGTTTAACCATGGTTTTATAATTTTATTGGCCAAGTTAAATTTAAGAATTTTATTTTTATAATTTTATTGATAAAGTTAAATTTAAGAATTTTATTTTTATAATTTTATTGATAAAGTTAAATTTAAGAATTTTCTTTTTATAATAAAATGAAAAAATTATTTTTTTAAATTATTTTTTAAAAAATGAAAAAAAATTATTTTTTTAAAAAATGAAAAACAAATTAATTTGTTCCAATAATCAAACCACTTTTAAACATCATTACTATCTTCTTCATCAGAAAGTTCATATTCTTGTCCAATTTTTTCAGAAGTCCAGCTTTTTAAGCATAACAAGCCTCGTGATGTTTCAGGATCTAGGCGATTCCTTAATTTAGATATTGTCAATCCTGCAACAGAAAAGGATTGTTCACA